AACCTTCGAAAAAATCGTAAATTCGGTTAAAAAGTCCGCGTTGCCGTTAGCGCAATCACTTTCCTTTAAAATTTAAAGGTCCGACGCCGCGTTTTGATATTTTTTAAATTTAAGATAACATTTTTGTCCTGTTGAGTATGAGCTCTTTCGTTCCATAAGGTTATGAATATTACGTAAAATTGTTATGCAATTACTCGGTCCAGAGTATTCTTACACCCCGCTTTAAAGAATTTGAAAGTGCGCCTCTGACAATGTGCGCCTGACAAACGATAAAGAAAAAGAAGAAAAAAAATGAATGCAGCGTTATGTATCAATCGCCTTAAATACCAAAGCATTTCAAATCCCTCTCAAGACCCCTTGTGTATTGCCATGATACGTGAGTCATGCCTTATGTTTTCTCCCTTCATGACTGAAAAAATATGTTGTTTAACTATGCTTTCTCACTTTCTTGACTAAAGGGATATCCGTAAAATTGAAGGTAGATTGTAATGATTATTATTATTATTATTTATTTTTCTAAAGAAAAGATGAACGTGATCAAAACGCTTAATAATCGTAGTGATTTGAAGATTAATCGGTTGATCATTTTTTCATAGATCATAGACGTCCTTTCTCTCTCTCTCTCTCTCTCTTTGTCTGTCTGTCTCCCCTCCTCTCTCTCTCTCTTTTTCTCTCTCTCTCTGTCTCCCCCTCCTCTCTCTCTCTCTCTATTTATCTATCTATCTATCTCTATATCTATCAATCTATCTATCTATCTATCTATCTTTATCTGTGTCTGTGTGTATATATATATGTAAATGTATATATATCTGTATCTAACCATCTATCTATCTATCTGTTCATCTATCTATCTACCTATCTATCTATCTCTAGGCATCTTTTCCAGCGGTTATAGGAAACGCGACTTTCTTTCGCGACAGGAATCGAGCAGACGGTTAACCTTAAATGAGTTGCCAGATGCATTCCTCCTACTTTGGATATTTCATGCATATTCGTACTTATATTGGATATCTATAACACCGCACTCCTCACCATAAGATATCAAAAGCCATCTTGGATATCATATTCGAAAATACTGTTTAGCTGTTGGAAAAATAACCAGTACAGTAAAATAGCAGAAATGGGCGGAGCTTAGAGACCTGTCTCGCCTCCGATCACGAGACATAACGTGTCTCGTGACAGGTGTCGCGGAGCGTTTCGCGACACCCTAATTGCCACCGAGAAAGATGCCTTATATCTGCATCTCTCTCTCTCTCTCTCTCTCTCTCTCTCTCTCTCTCTCTCTCTCTCTCTCTCTCTCTCTCTCTCTCTCTCCTCTATATATATATATTATATATATATATATATATATATATATATATATATAATATATATATATATTATATATATATATATATATATAGCTGTCTATCTATCTATCTATCTAGATATAATAATGAAAATACCGGATCGGGCAAACGCCGTTTCTCCTCTTACTCTTTTCTAACAAGGGAATCAAAACTAGGGGTAGATGAAAAAAACGTAATTAATGGAAATTATCCCTAACAAATGATAATGTCAAAAAAACAATCAATGGAAACATATACACGAACAGCTTTGCATGAATCCGGGCATCTGGTATCCGCGCATTCATCTTACGCGAACGCAGGTAAAGGGGGAAATCGTAGACAATAACAACTTGACTCGAGCGGCTTTTCTTGGAAGACTTTTTTCGAGTCGGTTTCTGATTTTGAGAAGTAAAGGTCAGTTATTTGGGCATTTAAAGGTGGTTTTTGTTATGACATGATCTTGGTGGAGTAGATGTTAAGGTTAATTGTCGTTTAATGGCTGTATTTTGTGTTAAATGTGAAGGTATGTGCCAAAATTGACAGTCGGAATGATACAAGCTTTCAGGAATGATAATAATTTTTGTATTTTTTGCAGTTGGTTTACTTGCGCTTTGTTTGTGTATTCATTCGTTTATTTCCAACGCTGTGATATTTGATATAGAAAAATGGTATTTTTCAAAAAATCATATTTATGTAATTGTGCTAAATGGCCATGTATTGCTGGTAAAGTAAAATTTTGGGTACAGGTAAATTTCCAGCGAGTCGCCATTTAGATGAAAAAAATATATGCAAACGATAGAGCGAGTAAGTCTAAGAAACTTATCTTCTATGTAATTTAACTGCAACTCAAAAATAATGAAGTTAATGGACATGTAAGTGTCTCAACTTGTCAGGACCAGCAGAACCATGAGGCTCTGTTGAGAACCGCTGAGGCCTTCTTTGCCCATAATGAAACTAACTTGAGAATACACATTCACTATTTTATCATGCCATTGTGTTTATTTGACATGCATATGTTTTGGAATTCCTCAGATGCATAGTTACCACAACTGCGACTGACAAACACAAAAATACCCTTTGATAGCACCAATAAAGGTCTATAAAATTAGCTACTAATATCTTCTGGTTGCCTGCAACTGTCAAGGTTTACATTCACCCTGTCTTGCTTGCCCGGTTGCGAAGCAGGGTGAGATGGACGAGAGGGACAACTTGTCTTGGATGCCAAAGTTCTGAACAGTCATAAGTTCTGATCAGTCAAAACATCTTATCCTACTTGTCCAGTTTGTTGGACGAGGACTTCCGAATGCAGCAGAACCAGTAAAGAATTTTCATATTCTGCTTGCAGTGTTTACAATCCAGTATTAAGTACTGAACATATAACTCATTACAATCAAAGATATGTCTGTATCATGTGATCTGATATCATTCAAAATTATGTCTGTAACTTTTTCAGTTGGTATATAATATATGCTGAAATCAGTGATTTTTTATTTTTTCCTCAAACTCCAGTGTTTCATTGATCACAGATAACACTGAGTAATGTAATGAAATATTTAATTCATTTTTTCATTCCATCAGTGTTGAAAACATGACAGCCGTGGATTGGGGAGAGAGATGGAGCGAAGTCAGGAAGTTGCTGGAGAGGCCTGGGCCTTTCACCCATCCAGACTTCGAACCTTCACCAGATACCCTGAAAATGCTGCAGGAAAACATTAAAGTCTTGGTTATTGGTAAGAAGGGATAGTCTGTCATAGTTTGGAAATTCTGTAAAATGTACATTTTATTTTTTGGGGGGCTGAATTCCACGTTAGCTCATACAGTGTAGTGAATGTTTATAGGAGGGTGGATCTTATAAGATTATATTTTCATGTTTCCTGCCTTATTTTGAATAATCATTGTAAAACTGCTGGTATATGCTTACCATATCCCAGCTTGGTGTAACTAAGTAGCCCAATTTGATCTTTCATCATGTTGGTAACGCACACTCCATGATTTTGACCTCTTGTAACTGCTATCCATCAGAACCCCATTTGGCTGGAAGACTATGACTATGCCAATAGTTTTATGTGCTGCCCATAACCTTGAGTCAAATTAGATAAGAACCAAAACCTCGTATTGATAAAATTATAACTATTTTTGAGATGCTGTGTTTTCCTTTGCGTATACCTGGCTGTGAAGTATAGTATTTGCTTGAGCAGGCAGCAGAGGGGTTTATAGGAAGACTAAATGAGATAATGTGTGTGCCTTTATGTGGTTGTCAGCATCCATAGCCTGTACATTCATGTACTGTAATACATCTAACCGTTTTGCCTGAATTTTTGTGTTATGATACTAGGATTTCTCCACTGTGAATCATTTTGATTTAATAACTTTGTTTTGTTATTTTCTTGCAGGAGCTGGTGGATTAGGCTGTGAGCTGCTGAAGGATCTTGCACTTATGGGCTTTACAGACCTGCATGTGATTGACATGGATACCATTGACCTATCTAACTTAAATCGTCAGTTCCTCTTTCGGAAGAAGGATATTGGCAGACCAAAGGCTGATGTTGCAGCAGAATTTATCAATCAGCGTATACAGGGTTGTCGAGTGACTCCGTATCCTTTTACTAAATGCTTTTGAGTAATTCCATGATTATTTTGGTAATTACAGAAAATAAGACTATAGATATGGAAATGCTGGTATAGGTGTTTTTAAACCTGTCAAGAATGTCAAATAGATAGTAACAGGTAGTCTGACATAGGTTGTAATACTTTAAGCAGTTGTATTAGGTTGGCATACCAACAGTTAGTCTGGATGGGGGTGAAGTTGTAATCCCAGTGCTAAATCCTATATGGTGGAGATCTCCTAGCTTAGGGTTGGGAAAGTGGCTGGTATTTATGGTATTCCTACCACATTTTTACTTGTGGACCTATGGCAGGGGGTTTGCATGCTGTCCTGGCTACTAACCCCAGCACCTACTGAGGGGTGTAGTTATCCTTCTCTGGAAGGGGAAAGGGGACTGATGAGACTGCAGCAATTACTGAGGCATTACACTACTCAGCATCCCAGGCAAGTTTCTTGTTCACATCTTTCATAGACATATTAGAGATCATGTACTGAAGCACCAGAGACTAGAGCAATCTGGGTTCACTCCTGGCAAGTTGTAGAGCACTGTCTAGAGGCATTTAACAGTGAAGCAAAGCCTGTGGGTTTAGAGGTCTCCTGGACCAATCAGTTACACACAGCTTTACATACCTTGGTATTGTAATTCATGACTCTTAGTTGTAAGACCAGGATTGGTTGGCAGCAGGTGCCATAAACTCTCGTGACAAGAGCATTTGGAGATGCTGGAAACTGTGCAGAAAGACCAAGCTACACATCATCAACAACCTGATACTGCCATTTTTGCTCTATGGAAGTTAAACCTGGATGCTATCCTGTACCCTGGAATCTCATCCTGATGCTTTTTGCTGGGTCATGTGGTATAGCTGGTAGGACCATGTGTTCAAGCAATGGTTACACCATGAGGCTGGCTTAGGACTGTTACTTGCACAATTTGGGTATATGAGCACCTCTTGTGTTTCCCAGGGGACAGTCCTACCCATAAGGTTGTTGTTACCCTCAGTGGAGGAGGAAAAAGTAGGTAAATTGCAATAAGATAAGATATTTTTTGCTTTTATGTAGTGACATGTAGAGAGAAATGAGCATTATCCTTAACCAAAGCCCAAACAGCTACTACAATAAGATCCAGGATTTTGATGATGATTTCTACAGAGGTTTTCATCTGGTGGTTTGTGGTTTAGACTCCATTGTTGCTCGCAGATGGATCAATGGAATGCTTCTCTCCCTCCTGTGTTATGAAGACGGAATGCTTGACCAGGTAGATAGCTGTGAATTGTTGTTACGAGTAATTTTTGTATTGTTTCTGTTTTCATTCTGTTACTTATCGCAGAAGTATTTTGATATATTGTCAAGAGTATGTATTACATAGTTGAAAGTGATCTTGACATTTAAATTTTTTACTGTGAAAGAATATTTTTAAGGAAAAATATTCATTGGAGTTTTATAACTACTGTTGGACTATAAAAAAGAAGAAAAAAAAGTATAGGATATGTCAGATTTATTAACTGTTGATGGAATGGCATGGCATGTTAGGAATCACTTTACGTAATGATCAGGTCAGTCAGTCATGTTTCTTCTATTTTTCCCATTTTTTGTTTCAGTTCTTTTGTTATGTGAAAATTTCATTCTGTTATATTGTTATAGTCATTCTTAGTAATACAAGTTTGAAAATTGCATGTAATTGCAGTGATTTTAATAACAGATAAAAGGCATAAGATAATAGCTCAGTACCCTTTGATAAAAATTTATATTTAACTTTGTAGATTTTTTTATATGGTCTTTAGTTGCATCATCAAACTGTACTGCCCAGATGTGAAGAATGTTTTAGGGTAATTCAGTTTTGTAAAGATGTCATTGTGTATTTTTAAGAATCATCTTTTGTTCAATAGTATGTCCTTTTTCCTATTACAAATTACGTCATTAAATGCTTCCTCAGAGTTCAGTGATTCCAATTATCGATCGTGCCATTATATTTCATTAATGCATAGCAGTTTTATTTGTGGTTTACAAGGTAGTAAAGATGTCATTGTGTATTTTTAAGAATCATCTTTTGTTCAATAGTATGTCCTTTTTCCTATTACAAATTACGTCATTAAATGCTTCCTCAGAGTTCAGTGATTCCAATTATCGATGGTGGAACAGAAGGATTTAAGGGTAATGCGCGTGTTATCCTGCCTGGTCTAACATCCTGCATTGAGTGTACGTTGGATTTATTTCCTCCACAAGTAAGTATCGAGTATTCAGTACTTTTATATAGCGTACAGCATATTGATGAGTAATCCAATTGGCTGTGTGAAAAAAAAATTGTGTTAGTGGTGATTAAAAAAAAATAGATTAGAAATTGTGGAGTGGTGATTTTAACATATAGTGGTGTGTGAAAAAAAAATTGTGTTAGTGGTGATTAAAAAAAAATAGATTAGAAATTAGGATAGTTATCAGATTTGGAAGTTTTGCCCTGGTTAACTGTTAGTATTTGTTTGTCCTGGTGAAAAAAGAAGGGAAAAAAATCGAAGAGTGTGTATCAGTTATAATAGAATTAGCATTTAGTTCATCTAGTTACATACACACAGGTGTTCATTCTTTACAAAGAGTTCAATTAGTTACAAACAATAGTATTCATTTTTTATTGTTTCAATTTGATTAGCTTCAGTAAGAAACAGAGCTTACTATGATGTTAGTAAATCATAAATGTATACAGTAATGAATATAACCAGTTATGTGACCACATAGTTTTGTTGTCAGTAAAAAGAAATTTGTTATGATTTTTGACAGTGGTTTGTGTGTTGCAAATTTATTTTTTGAAATATATCTTCATGTTCTAATTTATTGGAGGACTTAGTGTGTGTTTATGTTGATATAAACACACATATAAGGAAATCAACTGAGAGCTTTTGAAGTAAGGCACTCATACCATACAATTTACCACACAGGTAAATTTCCCACTGTGCACAATAGCCCACACGCCACGCCTCCCAGAACATTGTATCGAATATGTCCGCATTCTGCTCTGGCCAAAGGAGAACCCATTCGGCGAAGATGTGGCCATTGATGGCGATGATCCACAACACATTAACTGGATTTATGAGAAGGCACAGAAAAGGGGAGCTGAATATGGTATGTAACCAGGCATGGTTTCATGTCACTGGTAGTCCATGTTTTATCAGAAGTGATTGTGTGTTTTGTTGATAATGAGGTACTAATGAATTGCTTGAATTGTAAATACAGTAAAAGGAATAATGACATGCTGTTAGATATGTATTATCTGAAAAAAAAGTATTCTGTCATATCAGTGTTTAGAAAGCTGGTTATTCTTATATATGCGAAGATTTTATTTATATGCCACAGAAAGAATTTAGTGAAGAATAGCATATCTGATTGATTGTTGATTGATTGCATTAAAAAAATGATATATAACAAAGGCAACATACATGATATTATGTTTGTCTGAAGTTTCATCTTTATCTGAATTTCCTTGTGGAACTAGAGGATGTTAACACATATATTGAGTGGACTGTAAAGTAAAAGATAAAACTAAAAAATTAAGCATCAATATTTATTTCACACTGTAATAGCATTACCAAATAGAGAATCCATACATTTATTTAATCATTTCAATTACAGGGATCAGTGGTGTCACTTACAGGCTAACTCAGGGTGTAGTGAAGAGAATTATTCCTGCTGTAGCATCAACAAATGCAGTAATTGCAGCAGCGTGTGCATCAGAAGTGTTCAAGCTGGCTACGTCAGCCTGCACACCCATGAATAACTATTGTGTATTTAATGACATTGACGGCATTTATACTTATACTTATGAACATGAGAAGAAGGTATGTGATGAAAGTTTTAGATAAGGCTGATTCTTATGTCTTGAATATTTTACTGCACTTCATATTCTTACATGGTATATGCCGCTTAGATATGTTTACATATGGACTATCTCATGGACTCATGAACACTCACTCACTCCCTCTCAGTCTCTCTATCTCTCTCTTATTAGTTAATCTTACTTACCAGCTTTTAATTTCATATCCTCAGGAAGAGTGCATGGCATGCAGTCAAGTTCCTCAGAACCTTGAAGTGCGGCTGACGGACAAGTTGAAAGACATCATCACCATGCTTACCGAGTCATTCAAATTTCAGGTAGGGTTTGGTATGTGCAGTTGCCCATATTACGAATAGTACAGGATGTTTTATACACTTTTAAGGTCATATGGGGAAATTGCAGATGTCTTGGGTTAAAACCCTATCAGACTAGTACTTTTTCTATCAATTTTTGTTTTTCTGTATGTAATTTCCGTAAGCACATAGACTGACCATGAATCACATGTATCACTTGGTAGTATCACACTACCAAGGCAGCAAATATAATGCCCATGTATACAAACATGCCGCCATCAGAGTGAGTTTTTGGAATCACTTGAGCATTCTCATACATATTACATTATTTTAGAGAACTATAATTATGTATATTGTTTATAGAAGTATTCTAGAATATTAACTGAAGTTTACATTAACTTATTCTATCTACTTTATCCCCCCCCCCCCTCAAAAAAAAAAATCTAGTTGAATAGATCCTTCTTAGCACAAGTTCTTGATGGAAATTAGTCAGACTGAAATGGTCCATACTGTCTTTGTCTGGGAGGTGTACTGTTTGCATGTGATACATGCAGAAAGCCTCAAATTTACACGAAATGCAAAAAATGGTGGGAAAAATTGGTGGTATAATAGGGCCTTTATATGCATAACTGTATAGTTTGTTTGTTTTTTCTTACTTTTTTAAAATTGTGCTATTGTGAAAAATTATAGTGTGTTAGGATTAGTAAGTGATAATTACTAAAAGTAACTCAGCTAATATATCATCATAGTTCATTATTGTTATCTTTAAACAAGGAAGTAACAATGTAGAATGAAGGAAGATCACTTCAGTTTCTTTTTTTAATTTTTTATTTCAAAGTATTAACTCAGTGCTTCTGGGCTGAAATGCTGAAAGGCCTAAACTCTGTGGCTTGTGTAAACTTAGTGTCATTGCACTGTGTGGGCAATGGCTGCCAACTTCTCATGATAGAAGGGCTATAAACTGCAATAATGATGACTGTGATTCAGCATGGCATGTCATACCTGTCACTCGGGAGGCAACAAGTTAAGGCTGAAAACTTGCTATTTAAAAAGTGTTGACAAATGTTCCCAGCATCCTAGATTTGCATTTCTTTTTTGGGGTCCCAAAATGTAGTCTACTCCTGAAGCAGTTTCATGTGATAATTCTGTACTTGAGTCAAAGTTTATCATGTCATTTATAAAGACTTCTAAATTGATTTTTTAGATGAAAAGCCCTGGACTCCAAGCAATGGTTGATGGAAGGACAAAGTCACTGTATCTGCATTCTCCTGCATCCATTGAAGAAAAGTTAAGACCTAACTTGAAGAAGACCATTGAGGGTATGGTATTATTGTCTCTCTTACAAATCATGTTTTTCTTTCTAGCTGTAAGTTGAGGTAAGGTCAGTGTAAACTGAGAATTGATGATAATTATTGGCTACTAAAATCTTGTGTAGTGAAAAATGGCAAAGTAATACCTTAGAGTTTAGGGAAAGAATCCATTTTGCCATTGGAAGTATATCACAGTCTTTTGTGCAAACTTATAAGTGAAAGTCAAAAGTAGCCAAATTGTCAGTATAGGATTTTCAAAAAATCATTACAAAAACATGTTTCTTTCAATATTATATGAACTCACATTTTGGTAACACTTAGTTGATAATGGCTCTCTTTAACTTCGGATTTTTCTTCTAATTATATATTACATACTGTCAAATGATATGGGAGTGGAACTTTTAGTACACAGTAGTGTTTAATGTAATATGTTGTTTACTGTGGATTTGTTTATAGTTGTACATGAAATCATTTTCTATAGAGTAATGTGGTAAGCAAAACTGTCAAAGCTTCCTTTACAGTCAGTCACATTATGCTAGTAGTTAGAAGAGAAGCAGAATCTTTCCCATTATACTATTTATTAGTAATAGACTGACCTAACCAAAACACTGGATGTTGTGTTCTTGTCGCAAAAGAACCCCTTGCATTTATCTGTGAGAAATATGGGACTTGTATCTAGCCTTCTGATACTGATATATCTAGCACGCTGTAATGCTGTACAACTTTGTGACAGGTGAATAATTAAAATAGAAAAGATACAGGCAGTTATAATCTAATAGTCTCCAGCATGGAAGACTGTAATTACATATGTGTATATATATATTACTATAGATTATTTTTTTTATTGCAGAGTTGGGCCTGGCAGATGGCATGGAAATAGCTGTGGCAGATGTTACTAGTCCAACCACGATACTTTTCAAGCTGAAGATAATAGAGTAGATGAAACGTTTATTATGTAATTAATAGCATTTTAAATGTTGACACTTGCTTTTGAAATTTTATGGAATTATTTTCTGTGAGAGGTCTTCAGCATTGATGTGATTTATTTTTAATTTAGATTATGCAAGACTTAATTTAAGCTTTTGTTTTGTCATATCTGATACAAAATTCTATTAAAAAAAGAATAATAATTTTTTTCAAAACAAGGCTTAGAGCGGTATATGTATTGGATATTATAACACTTGAATAAAATTACCTACTTATACTGAAGTTTTTATTGTGCAAGCTGAAAATACATGAAAATACTAAATAAAAATAGACCTTTATAATAAAACTTCTTTCATATCATTGGTATAATGGACGGGTTTGGACGGATTCAATTACACCAGTAGAAAGCACTGAAAGGTAAGATAAACAGTTAAATAACAACTACATCATATCTGTCTACCTCCTGTGAAATGACAGTCAGGAATGTGTGGTTGCATAAAATGGCAAAGAACATGAAAGCAAAATAAATTACAACATTTACTATAAATGCACACCAAAATCAATGACCACACCATGAGGTACCTTTACTGTTACTTTTTAAAACACAACATTTACAATGTACCTGTAAGCTTCAGAATTCATAAGGATTCTAATAAACCATGTAAACCTTAAACAAACTAGTAATAACCCATTTTTGCTAGTTAGATGTATTGTCCACAGTTGTTTTGTTTTGTGAATGTTTTTTTTTCTAACATAGATGACTCTACAAGTCACCAAGGAATCAATTAGTAGGCTCCATGTGACCTCACTTGATTTCTCCATTCCTTGATTTTTTTTTTAGGAAAAAATGTTTTTTTCTAATGGTAATAATAATAATAATATTATTGACATTATGATTATCATAATGTTATGATCCATCTATGTGTAAACAATATTAACAGACTAAAGTCACAGTGGACATGCCATCCTGAAATGAATTTATTAAATTATTTTGCAAACATTAAAAGAAATATATTCTCTCTGTTAGAGGAGCAAAAATGGCTATTTTTTTCTATAAATTGTACAGCATACCACTGTATGTTACTTATGAATAAAACAATCAGTTTAAATATCAATTGACAAGATTACAGGTACAATGACAACATAATGGTAAGAGCATCCTAATGTGTGATACACCTGTATTTCTAGAGTTATTCTTTTAAATAATGTTTATTTTGTATTTCTCATTGTTACTTAATCTGCACTTTGGCAACTTGGAAAAGAAATAATTGCAATGCATGTATCTTGTTTCTTTTTTTAACCATTAAATGTCTGTCTTTCTATTCAACTTAATCCTTTTACAGATACATGTTATCTGCAACTTATTTCTCATCTTCCTTCTTTCCCTGTAAAGTTTCTTCCAGCAAAACCAAAGCAGAACTTCCTTTTAGTGTAACCACTAAAAAAGTCTCATCAAACAAAAAAATAAATAATACAAAAGAACTATAACCTTTTGCAATTGATATCTTTACACAAGGGACACAAAGAAAAAAAAAAAAGTGACTAGAACATCAATACATTCAATACTGTTGCAATGTGGACCTATTGCAAGTCCGTGTGTAAAGTGGCTTTGCATACAACATTATAATTCTAAGGAATGTGTGCTTGTCTTTTGTATCAACAGAGATTCTAATGTATGAATTTTGTGCCATGAAAAGAAAAGAAAAGAAAGAAAGAAAGAAAGAAAGAAAAAAAAGGAATGGTCATTTCTGTACGAATATCCATACAAAAATTTGAAACATACACAATGGTGCATATATCATGATAAAAAAAAGAAGGGTGAAGAATGTCTATCCTTATAAAACCAATTTTTGTTTGGTAACAAGGACAAAGAATAAAATTATCAATAACATTGTAAGGGACTGACATAAATATTTTCCTCTCAGTACCAATTTTCCTTGGATTAAAAGTACTGGAAGGAACATACTATGAAAAAAGAAAAAAATCATTAATAAATTTGTGCAATAAATACAAGCTTCTGCTTAAAGGCATGTACTATGAGCAATAGTATAATAAAGACCTATCACGTTACAAAATTCATACGATCAACTCAAATATGCAACATAGCTGAGGACCTTATCTGTTTAGACCGTAGAGAACTGTAAATAATTGTTCAGTTGAGCATAACTGAATAAGAATGAAATGTATAAATCTATATATTACTGCTCTGTTGCTATATCTCTATTTCAATTGCTGACTAGATGTATAAGAGCACTCAAATTTTTCTTATCACAGCACTGACTAGTTTTGAAGAGTCTAGTTCCGACGTTTACCTCCTCCTAGGACATTACGCTTATTGAAATTAGCGTTAGCAGGAATGCAGTCTATGAAATGTCCAAAGCGCAAGTAATTTTTTTTTACCTTAATAAAGACATTTAGTAAATTCCACAGAACTGGTTTTCATTTACCTCAAGCAAAGCAATGAGATATCCTATAAAGCTGGTTTTAACTTGAATTAACTTGAACTAGAGAATTAATCCAATAAATTAATCAATAACATAATCTAAAAAGAGAAAAAAACTTCTCATGACAAAAAATTCCTCTTAAAGCATCATTATGTTCATTACAGTTTTAACATCTCTATCTTTTTATTCACTTTGTTGTTCACAGACCATTTTCAGGTCAATGCAAATGTTAAAATTCCATGAAAAAAAAAAGTAATAAAACTCATGCTTTGCCTAACGGTTCATATTATTTCCAAAGTTCTCCTTGATTTGATTTGTCAGCCATTCAACACCCTCATGAAGGCCTTCTCCAGTAATGGCATTTGAAGCGGTAATGTGCCATGGCTTGTCAGAGATGCGCTCTAGACCCAAGGCTGCCGAGACTTTCACACTACTCACAGCATCTCGCATGTCCATCTTGTTGGCAAAGAATAGTATTGGTATCCTACGGTGGCGGATCTGTTGGTGGAAATGCAAAACGGTGTCAAATACCTTCTATAAATAAAGTAAACAAAAAGAAGAGAGAAGAAAAAATCAAGTCTATATATTTACAATTATTATTCACATTGTTATCCTAACTTTTAATCCACGTTCATCTTTCAACTGCACACACAAACCTCAGCATGCTGAAGCAACATGTCGAGCTCATCCTTGGCGACAACCAGCCGCAGCTTGTCGCTTGAATCCACCACAAATATGACACCTTGACAGTCGTGGTAGTAATGTTCCCAAAGACTCCTATAGCGTCCTTGACCTGACATATCAAATGCTGTGAAACCCACATTTTTTGCTGGAAAAAGAGAACAATAAGCTCAAAATATATCGCACTGAACAAACACAAAGAAACACTTACTGCACTGACTGAGTCTTGACATCGTTTACTTCCAACAGACTCTAAATGATAAAGGTTGGTCTTCATGTCTCTTCATTTGTTTGCATGACCCTAGAAGCTATTGGTTATATCATCTATAACAAAAGCTACTTCTCTGACTGTTTAGCTCTACATGTCTCATACAATTTCTCTGTAAAGGTAAATCTGATGATGAATAAAGTTTACAAACAAGCATGGTTGTCAGTTTTATACTTGTCTTAGAGAAGTTTATTTGCAATGAATAATATTTACAGTTAGATTGTAGGCAACATCTGCATGCTACTATTGCTAATCATAAGACTGGTTAGTGAGTTCCAAAAATAGTTTTAAAAATATGTATTACAAAATACTTTCTATTACTGTTTTAAAGAACATCTTGAGCAACTGTGACAAATTTTTGGATAATGAATACTTGCTTCTTTTGTTTGAACCTATAACTAAAAAGACAAGCATGTGTGCTTCCATGTGCCATACATTTTAAAAAACATAAACCGACTATCAGCTGTCTGATTATCATAAGAAAAACTTGCCACAATCAAATAAACACTTGCAAAGAGAATAAATACTGGCAAAATACCACTAGTCTTGTCTGGAAATGGTTTAACCTGAATGTTTTGTTTTAGGAACATAACTGGGTGGGGAAAATTTTTTTATCATGATAACTTCATATGCATTGGCCTTTAATGGGACTTGGTAACTGATATGAGACTACTATCACCTGTAATGTTTATATTTTTTTCTTTTATAGGTAATTCTAACTTTACTACAATTAAATGATTTATATAACATGTCCCACGTGTTTTCATCTAATCACCAAATTGGTACTTTTCTGTTTATCTATATACTTTTCAAGTCAAAAGCATGCATAAGCATATATATTCAGTCAGGTTCCATGCCTGACATTACTGCTTTCAATCATGCAATACCAAAAATTCAAGGATTTAGATATGCCAATAGTCTCTTTGGCAACTTTACATGCAAGTTATAAAAAAAAATTATTCTCATTAATCTTACCAATACAAAATTTCAAATAAGTCCCATTTAACTCTGAATCTACGAATAAAGTAGAGGCAAACTATTTTATCCTTTTTACAGTCATCATGTCTGAAACTTACTCTTGAACTTTTCCACGTTGAACCCGACAGTTGGGACGATATCTGTTGTCTTCTGATCTTCCGTTTTGAAATGGTTCAGCATGGTTGATTTGCCCGAGTTATCCAGCCCAATGACCAATACACTAGCTTCACGTTTCTTAAGGCCAAGAAAAAATGCTAGCCTGTCGAACATTCCCATTGCACTGAATTTGGAAAGGGTCGTAAAACCGCGTGAAGTTGATGGCTACAATCCTGATAGGTTAATGTATAATGGGTAGAGATTTTCTTAAATAGTATTTTTCACATTTGATTATGAAGTCCTACTTACAATATCCGATTTCACTTTAAATCTCTTTCTTTCTATACAAATTGCCTTATTTCCTTTGGGTCATTGATTTTCTAAAAGCCTGTAAGGACAAAGAAAGACAACATTAATCATCATTCATTTGAAACTTTAAGTAAATAAAAATGCAGATGTAGATGTAAATGTAAAAAAAAAAAAAGGAAAAAAATAATAAGAAAAAATTAACAACACACACACACGCACAGACACACACATATATATGTATAATTTTTAGATTACCTTGTGGTGCTCATATCAGTTCAGATATTGCAATAAGTTCAATAAATGATCAATACAATTTTATTTTTTTAAGTATCTATGTCACTTACATTACAATAAATGTTAACAATACATCTGGATGTCTGCCATTGACCTACTTGGGTACATGCAATGTCAACTGTACCTTTGTTTTGTTAATTCTATTTAAACACTGATGGTACCCCAAGGACTTAGTTCAAGGAGCCAATTACCAGGACTACGTGACCTTAAAATGGATCCTGAAGTTTTCATGAAAAAAGTATCTTTATTTCTAAAACTTTTTAATCTTTATCAATATAAATATCATCATTACTGACATTATGATACCATTTACAATCTGGGACCATTTTGACATTATGATACCATGGACCCATGCAATATCATCATTACTGACATTATGATACCATTTACAATATCATTAGCAATATAATCTTAGTTGTTCTTTTTGAAAACTCAAGGAATAAAGTAAGCAGGTGAGACCATGTAGGCCTACAAGCTGACATTTGAGGCCCACATCCAATTAGCCCAACATGATCCTGGTCCCAGAGCTACCCATCCTCAGTGATACTCCTTTGGGCTTGGGAGGGCAAGCTTCAAAAAGGCCAGACTCACTTAGTTCCCCAGACAACATGTATATGTCAGGCAAAAATGGAGATAATCCTAGACTTAAGTAATGTCCCACAATCAGGTAAGGCCAGTTCAACCATGGCTTTTGCAACTAAATACTTGTGGAGCCTTGTAAGGGTAAAAAAGTTATAAACTAAATTTACAATGGACAGAGCATTCACAAACCATTCTGACAGCAACCTATAAAAAATAAAACAAATTATTCTCAACATTTCCTTAAATATCCAGTAAAGCACGCAACAAAATTATATTGTTGACTTTATATACGTAAATGCATATATAGTGTTCAAAATACTTCAATCTGATTGATCATTAAAGACACTAATGACTCGGTACACTACCAGATACAACTGGTAGTAACAAGCTACGTCAGTGAGGCCAATATCACTGTTTACAGAGAAATATGGCATGAAATTTAATCAACTTCAAATCCCAAATTATATTATCTTAATTCCTAATTTTATCTCAAGGATACCAGAAAGATGGATTGAAGAGGTTGCTGCAAAGGTGGGGATTATATCCAAATCTGTCCCTTTAGAAATATATTTCAAATACTCTCTTTTAATTTCTAGCATCAATAAAATACATGGCATACTGAGTACCCTGTAAACATTCAGACAATTACAAGACCTACGAATTTATCTCAAATCAATGATCAATCACATTAATTCAAGTCCAATCGAAACTCTTTTACTACATGTGACGTAACAGTCCTATCACTGAAGAAACCCCTCTCATCCTTCCTGTAGCACACAAATATATTGAAAATACCACCAAATTGAAGAATCTCAGGCGAAAAGTCCCACAAAATATGGCGAGAAGCGAGGACGTGCCCCGACCTCTTGCGTGCTGCGATGGCGTCTTCTGACATGTAAACAAATCCAGCTGGAGGGCGAGATCCGCGGGGCTAACACCTTTCCAAACCCTAGAATATGTAAAAAGTCTAAATATACCCTCTAGAGACTTTCCATATAACGAACGATATAAATGATTTAAACCGGAATTATCATGATAGATAAATAAAGTTGTATGGAGATGCATTGCCGATAAGAAAAAAATTGGTGTCGCGGTCTCGATGCTCAGCTCTTCGAGTGTTGAAAATGGAGGAGGATTCTCAGAACCAAGGATTCTTGTGAGCCTTTTATTTCTCGCTCCTGCTCCTTCCCCGGGCCTAAATCCTAAGAGCTGTGGTCGTTTTAGGACTCCGGAAGACGGCAGGTGAAGGTGTCACATGAGGAACAGTCCTAAAATCGGGTTGAAGTGCGAGAACGGGGAACATTCCTTGGCAACCTTGACTGTTTTTTCTCGCAGTGATCATATGAGGAAAATTATGATATATATCAAAGTGTTTTTAGTTGAACATGTGTTTCGGTGTTGTTTGGCGACCCTCAAGGATATACGCAAGCTGTGAATCCTCCTCTCGTGACAGGGATAAGGGTGTTAAGTGGCAGGTGTTCTGGGCAATAAAAATACGTGTTCCATTCAAGCAGCTTCTGCACTTCTGTCTTTTTGGCTTTTGATTATTTCCTTCCAACAATAAA